GAAAGCAATGAGAGACAGGTGTTAGTCAAAGGATAAAATTTCTTAGAAACTCAGAAGATAACACAATGAATACCTTTGTAGAGAGAACCAAAGCCAGATGAATTATGAAAGTTATAGAATGAAAAAATAAAGACCACAGCAGTGATGACATGAAAATGATAATATCAAAAGAGGGAACCATAAGAAGAGTTGGGTAGGCAGACTGCATACTCTCATTTTTGTCATGTCATAATACAGTTTTTCAGAGACTATTAAATGTTGACAGCATTATGTGTAGGAATATATGTATATTGAATAGAAAAACTAGCCTTAAAATTAGCAATAATAAAAATCTCACCTAATGACAGAATGAGGTAAGGCTGATACAGGGCCTTCAAAATACTCAAAGAACACATATTACTACGAAATTACATTTGATTTCAGAAGTTGAGTTCCAAAATAAACATCTTTTAATTCTACTTTTTCTGAACTTCCTGGAGTACTCTCATGTACACATGTGATTGTAAAACTTTTCTTATCTAACTGATAAGAGTTTTAAAACAATAATTCAAGATGTTTATTATTAATCTAAAGGATGACCATGAACAGATGAAAACATAATAAAATTCCCTTATTGTTTAAGGAAAAACACCTTTTGCATGCTCCACAAATAGAGGAATTGAATGCAGAATGGCTATCTAAAATTATTTTATGTATGAAAAGAGGAACTGAAGCTATTGACTATACTATGGCTATGTATGATGATATGGCCACAAAATACCTAAGTAAATATTTAGTGACAAAGAGCCATCATGAATGTAACTTACACTCAGATGCTTCAGAAAAAAAATCATCTGTGTAGGAAAAGATACGTACATGCTTGAGTATGCGTATCTTGAGAAAGAAATAATAAATACAAAAGCACAGAGAATAAGAAAATATTAACAGGTGAATATGAGTAAAAGGTATATAGTAGTATTATCTATGTTCTTTCTAAAGTTAAAAATATTGCCATAAAAATGTTTTAAGAACAAAATTACTTAAAAAGCAATGATCACTTTGATGAAATCAGAAAACCAAGATTAAAAAACATTTCTAACGTTTATTGCCGAATTCATTTTTCTTAGTACAAAGAATTGGAAAATAAGTAGTTTTCAACAAGAGGAAGGTGAGACAGTTAAAAAGAACAAGCTGGAGCAATGTGCGTTGCTATGAGACAATAGTCAATAAAATGCTTAAATGAAGGAGGCAAGGAGTGATGCAATGTGCTGGAAGCTGGTGTGTGTGTGTGTGTGTGTGTGTGTGTGTGTGTGTGTTGTAAGGCTTATCCACACATGTCGTATTTTTGGGGGGAAAAAAAATGTTCTTCAGAAGTGCAACATAACTTCTATTTGGAATGAATGTGAAGTTTATTCTTTATATTTGCTAATATACTTTGTGCCCAACCAGCCAAAAGCGACAGAAAATTAACAAGTCCAGGAATAGCTCTCAACCAACAGCTGGTTCACACAAGCACATTCCCAGCTTTCTGACTCATGTAGTTTGCACACTTGATAACCCCAGTATGTCCAGCAGGATCAGGGCTCAGTTCATCACTGCCGTGGTCTTCTGCTAATACCAAAGCTAATAATCCAGGAAATGGGTGTTACCCACATGGAACCCTCAGAGTAGCCAGTAGAAAAGACAAAAATACATCCACTGGCAAAATAAAAAATAAAAGATCAGACATAATCATTTAATTCACTCTGCCTTGCCAACTCCATTATCAGAGCTCCCTTTGTCACCCACATGAATTGTCTGCAGCTCAGTCCTTGTCCTGGGGTTGATTTTTGAAGGAAAAAAATAAAAAACAAAAACACTGCGGTGCCAGGTGTGGTCCTTGGGATTGTCAGGATGAAGTTCTGTGGTGCGATTACTCTGCACAGAGGAAACAGTGACTCGTCGCTGATGGAGTAGGATCAGCACAGCCACTGGTAACCCCATTAGCACTATTATTCACCTGCGGGAGTTGGAATGGAGTACAGTGAAAGGAATGTGCTGTCTTGGGTAATTATCTCTTGCACATAGGAGAGGTGGGGAGCAATGATAACTATTGGGCTGATGAATTGATAGAGTTCCATGTCACGAAAGGAATTCAGAATTCAGATCAGTTCTAACATAGGACATTCTGTACAAGAGATGTAACAATGAAAACACACTCACACACATACATTCAAATAGAAACGAGAAGGTATGAAAACTCAACCCAAGAACTGGATGGTGAGACATAATAACCAGGAAGTTGAATTCACAGCTATGCAAGTCAGGACTTGGACAGGAAGTGTTGGACCTCAGGAATCGGGAGCAGGGCAGCTGTGTGAATGTGCTGCAAAGAGTCCCCGGATCCTGAAGTTTCTGAACCTGCAAAAGTTTGCCTTTTCCCTTCGTCTTAAGAACACATGTGTGAGGGTTTTCCCAAGATCTATGCCTGCGTCCTCTCCTGAAGTTTAAACATAATAATGAAGGGTTGGGCTCGGAATGCTATGTTCCAAGGGCTGGAGAGAACTGGTCTGCTTTGGGGGAAAAAAATAATTATTCATAATTACGCAACACCTACCACATGCCAGCCAGCACTAGGAAAATGTGGCAAGATATATATACACACACATGGATTTAAAAATGCCTTGTACCAAAAAAAGATTTTCTTCTAATTGATTTTCCATGAGCATTTGAGGCTTCCACATATATCTTGGGTATAATACTGTTATAATAAGATAATATAGTAGGTAGAATGTAAAAACATTAATTCTAGAGATTTTAGCTTCATAAGCAGCTCAGTAGTGTGGAAAGCTGACAAGGCTTCAGGCTTTTCAAAGTTCTGCCACCACTGAACACACAAAGAATGCAGAAGAAGGAGTCACTCTTCTTTTTCTACTTAATTCAGCATTTTCAATCCCATAGAACTCCTAGAGAATGACTACTGATTTCCCTACTTCAAGTAAGTAGTCATCTTAATGACAGTGCTACCACTTACATAAGATCATTTAAAAGTTTTCTGTAGCAAGCTCAATAGTGATTTGTGGAAATGTATGTTTTTGTAATCTATCTAGAAAAAAGATCAAAATTACTCTTCATTTATGTGAGATGAACAACTACATTCACTTGAAATGTTGTCCTAAGGCTGTGTTAAATCTGCCATTTTTCATAATCTGAAGGTGTGTGACCATCTAAGCAGCTTTTGGAACATTATGCTAATCCATTATTTTGGTAATATCATCATGACAAAGCACATTACACTAACAGATTCTAGAATTTTAGATATTTTGGTAAAATGCATGTGTAACAAACCATCCTGAGATCCAGGAGCCTAATCCTTGAGTTTAAGTCCAGTGCCACTGCCACACTAGATTATCTCTCCAAAGTGAAAATAATGAAGAGAAAGGCCAATGTCTCGGTAAACCTATTTGAGTTTTGGAAGTAACACATTCCAAAGCTAGGATTATTTCTCAGGTCTACACAGTGAATGCTACAGCACGCTGCCAGTGTCGAGTGGGTTACACAGCAGGAGAGCCGTCTGAGGCAGTTTCCACTCATAGCACACACAATCCTGATATGTGGGCCACCTGACACAGCAGACTTCCTGGTAGTCACAGGTAGGAAAAGGTGCAGAGCTGGTTAAACCCTCGGGAGGAAATGAGCTTAGACACTGAAGTTCAAGAGCTAGTCCATGTCATCTACCGAAAACAACTTTAAAGCTCTGGAGAAAACACTCCGAGTCTGTTCCTGGGTTATGACAAACAAGAAATGTGCAGTGGAATGTGGCCATGCTTGCAGGCCTGCTGGTCCCGTCAGATCTGCCCAAAAATGAGGTTAGACAAGTATAGCAGCAGTCTGTCATTAAGTGAAAATAGCACACCTGGACTGAACCCAAATAGAGCTGAGAGCCTAAACAAACACGGATAAAAGCTCTCCTTACCTAGTTGCAGTATCATTTCCCTACACTTAGCAAGTCAACAGATTGATATACAGCCTTCATTTTATACACGATAGAGGCTTTTTGCCTTTTACAAAATGTGATCAGTGCTGTACAGTAATCTACAAGTTGATTTTCTATCTCTGATTTTATACCACAGAGCTTGCCCTGCTAGTCCATAAACATCTTATTGTTTGTTGCTGTGTATTTCATAAAAAAAAGTATACTTTCCCTTTTTTCTGATGAATAATATGTCTCCCCTGAGTTTTCTTTGTCTCCTATGGAATGTTGCAACATAGGTGACCCTTAAGCTTTGGAAAACGTATTCCTGTGCCCTTAATTTACTTAAAAAGCGATTTCTGAGTCAAAACCATTTAAACGTATAATATTCAGTGGAAACTACAACATTACATTGTGAAGACAGAATCACGCCATCTGCATGAAGTGACAGAGACAAAAGCCAAATTCTCACCAGCAAAAGCTGTTAGTGTTTCATCCACACAGAGCACTGCATTGGCATTTTAAGATTACATTTACCTCATCAATCATTATGTTGCAAAGTTTTCCATGTATTTCTGATCATTTGAATTCCCTTTCTTGTGAATGACTGTTCATTCGTGGATCCTTTATCTGTTGTGTTTCTTGTCATTATAAATTTAAAACTGTTTTTCAAATATCAAGAATATGATTTCATTGTTGACACGGATACACAGATATCTTCTCTCAGTTTATTTTTTCCTGTTTGATACTACTTGCAGCGCTTTCATATTTTCTTCTTACTTCATGTCTGGATTAAAAAAGTGCTTGCGCACAAATGTTCCACTCAGCTTTCTTCTAGTATAGTTGTACAGTTGTATTGTCAATTCATCACTGTATTATTTTTGAAACCCCCATCAAGCCAGAGAAGAACATTGAAGCACAATAATAGTCACAAATATCTCCATCTTTTCAGATTATCTGTGAATTGGGAGATGCGGGATTTGTGCATTGTCTCTCATTCTCATTCCAGTATATTTTTCATGGTCTATCTTGTGCAGCATGTACAGCACAACACAAATGAAATTCTATCTTACTTACTTGTTAGCAAATGTCCCCTCTCCAATGTTCTCCGGAAGGCATCTTTCACCTCCTTGTTTCTCAAGCTGTAGATGATGGGGTTCAACATGGGAATCACTATGGTGTAAAACACAGAAATCACTTTATTGATATCCAGGGAAGAGCTTGAGCTAGGTCTGACATAGATAAAGAAAAGAGTTCCATAGAGGATGGAGACAGCTGTGAGGTGGGAAGAGCACGCTGAGAAGGCCTTTCTCCTCCCACCGGCAGTCTGGATCCTGACGATGCACAGCAGGATGCAAACATAGGAGACCATGATGATCAGACCGCTGAGGACCCCTATAGCTCCCGCCAAGGTGAAAAGCACCAAGTTATTAGTCCAGGTATCTGCACATGCTAAGGAAAGCAGTGGGGAAATATCACAGAAAAAGTCGTTGATGATATTGGGACCACAGAAGGGTAAGCAAAAAGTCAATGTCGTATGGGTCATGGTGCTTATAAGAGCCATGGCATACGGTCCTATAATCAACTGTACACAAACCCCCTGAGACATAATGAGTGTATACAACAAGGGTTTGCAGATGGCTATGTACCGATCATACGCCATGGCAGCCAAGAGGAAGCACTCCGTGGCCACAAAGAGACCAAAGAACCACATCTGTGCAGCACAACCCACAAAGGAAATGACCTTTTGCTCCGCAAAGGTATCACCCAGCATTTTAGGAGCGATGGAAGAAGAACACATATCAACAAGGGACAAGTGGCTAAGAAAAAAGTACATAGGGGTGTGAAGTTTGGGATCAAGCCATATGAGAGTGATCATCCCCATGTTACCCCCAAGGGTGACAAGGTAAATAAAAAGAAGCGTGACAAATAGGACTATCTTCTGGTGGAGTAGATCTGTGAGGCCCAAGAAGAGAAATTCAGTCACTGTCGTCTGATTCTTATCTTCCATGAGTCCCTGCGATCTGTCAAAGAAAAAGAATTAATTTTATGACCAGGTTGTTTTAAATGATCCATAGCAAGCATTGTGAAATATCATTCAAATGGAGACAAGATTGTTTAGCTACCAGGTCTCAGAAGTTGTGCAAGGAGACTGAAAAATTATGTAACTTACAACTGATATCTGAATTCTGTTCCCATTCCCATAAGAAGAATCCAGCTACATAATCTGGGCCTCTCTCAGATCTCAACAACTATTTTTCAAAATTGGAATTCGCTTAGTAATACCATTACTGGAAAGCTTGTAAAAACAAAAGTTCAGATGCTAATATTTGATATTATGGAAACGTCATGCAGGAGCCCCTGTTATAACAGATGCTCTGTGAATCCAATGGTATTAAGACAGAGTTTGTGTGTGTGTTTATCAGTTTACTCCTTTCCCCCTTTGTAAAAAGATGTGCAGAGGACAGAACACACACCTGACAAAGAGACTGAAGAATAATAGAAACAAATGATAGTTGCTCAAACTCAAAAAGTTGCACTCTTAAAAAGGGAGACCACATTTATTGCATGTGCCAGATGTGAAGTCAAAGAAACCACCAAGAGGTAAGGATACAAAATAATAGGCTGAGAGGAAAGGGTAGGGAGTAGCTAGCTAGCTAGTCATTACACTCCTGGAAGCCAATCCAAAGAAAATGAACTTGGCTTATGAAGGAGTCACTGTACCACCACGTTTATAGCAGCTCCAATCACCATAGCTAAAGCAAGGAAACAACCCAGAGTCTCATTAATTGATGACCAGATGAAGAAATTGCAGGATAAAGATACACAACAGGGCCCGGCGCGGTGGTGCAGTGGTTAAGGTCCTCGCCTTGCACGCCCGGGATCCCATATGAGCTGCGGTTCTAATCCCGGCAGCCCTGCTTCCCTTCCAGCTCTCTGCCTGTGGCCTGGGAAAGCAGTCCAGGACGGCCCAAAGTTTTGGGACCCTGCACCCACGTGGGAGACCCGAAAGAAGCTCCTGGCTTCGGATTGACTCAGCTCCAGCCGTTGCGGCCGCCTGGGGAGTGAATCATCGGACAGAAGATTTTCCTCTCCGTCTCTCCTCTCTGTATATCCGCTTAGCAAAATAAGCCAATACCAAAAAGGCAAACATCATGTGTTTTGGCTTGATACACAGTAGTTAATACAGAGTACCAAAAAATAAGTGAATGAATAAAACTGACATATTCTGATTTTATTCTTGTGGTTAGCCCTTGTGTGTACTTCTGTGGATCGGTGCTCTCTGTGCCTGTTATTGCTGAGTGTTCTGCTTAGTGGTGCAATCAGCCTGTGCTTATAAAGTAAATTCAGATTATGTTATTGCAAAAATTAAAAGGAAGATAGGAGGAAGAATTTGGGGTAGGGATGGAAAGGAGCAAAATATGATTTTCTTCTTAGAACTATATCTACTGCATACATGAAAGATGCTCTCTTTATATTAATAAAATATTTCTAAATAAAAATTTTTAAAGAGGGAAAAAAAGAGACTCTCCCAACTGTATACTCACCAAAAGAATATGATACTCTAGAAGGATGTGACAGATCCTGCCTTTGCAAGCAAGGGATCTGGCTAATGTTAGACAGACGCTTTCATCATAATTGTCTAGAAAATTAAGCACCTGCTGAGTTAAATAACAGAGTTTTGCAGCAATATCCTGTATTTTACATATTCTTTTAAGGTATACATCTTGAGAAACATCAGGAAACATCAACCATAATAAATGTCACAATAATAAATGTCAAATGTGTAATGCCTTATGCAGGAAAGGCACCAAGAGAACAGTATTGATTGTGTCTTTTATTAGTTGAAGAATAAGTAAAGCTGTTTTAAACTTCCTGAAGCAGCTCATTATGTAGGATAATTTATACAAGATAGTCTAGTTTGCGCATCATAATCACTTCAATCTATGTCCTCTGCAAATAGATGAAAAGCAGTAAGCCCCTTGCGTTATCTAGCATAATGTAGGGCTTTAATAAATAAGATTTCAAATAGTTGATATGGCCTGTGTCCACCCCCTTTGCTTTCTCCTTATCATGAGTATTCACCTAGTGCTGTATGGAATCCGTCTTCAGCTGTCACCAAGGCAATTCTAGACTTGAAAAAGGAGAGGAAAGTTTCTAACACTCTAAAATAGGTTTAAGGACGTAAATGGTAGTACAGGCTGATTCTAGTCTTAATCCATTCAGGATCTTCTTGTTTATTTGAACATAAGTCATCTTGTTTCTTCTAGAAAGTGAGGAAGATAATCTTTGTTCTCTTTTCATCGCTAATATTCTGTGATCTTAAAATTTCTCGTGGACATTACATTATCTTTATTTACATTTAATAAACTTTATAAAATAGTTTTTATTTAAGAAAAGTTACATATTTTTTTCATGTACAACATGATGTTTTGAAATATGTACCTATTGAGAAATGTCTGCCTTGAGCTAGCTAATGTACTTGATTTTTTCTTAGCAATATTCTGCAATACAATTCACAATTATTAACAATGCTTCTATATTATTTTTAAAATCCAGTTCGGAATGTACTCACTTCTTTAAGGATATAGTTTATGTGTCTCCTTTAATTCATTAAAGGAACATGATTTTCTGGGCGTCAGGATGGAACGTTCAACTGCATCGTTGGTGGGAACCTTTCCAGAAGGACATGACTCCTCAGCTCATGGAAAAGGCAAATGCCTGACTTGAGGAGCTCAGATATAAAGAGCTACACCTTAACCTGCATGTGGATTCACACACTTTACGACGGAAAAGGCATTTTCTTGGGAGCCTTCACTAAGTCGGTCCCCGAAGAAGCTGAGTCTCAAGAGCTTATTCCTAAAGGGCCAAAATTAGTGTGATCTCAGTGGCATTAGGGTCAAGCATTACTTCTGTGTCTTCCCTCTCTCTCTCTCTCTATCTCTCTCTCTCTCTCTCTCTCTGTGTGTGTGTGTGTGTGTGTGTGTGTGTTTTAGGTTTTCTCCCCTGGGATCCTCTTCACCTCTGTTCATCAATGGAGGCACCAGCTGAAATGAAATACTTCCCTCTCTGGATTCTGGAAGCAGGTCCCCTGGAGACCAATGCCAATTCCTCAGCCTACTGTATTTCTATTCATCCTTATTTTAATTTATAAAATAAGGAAAATAATAGTTTATAGGTCACAAAGATATTGAAGGAACAAGAGATATACATATGTGTATGCACCTGTATGTGGAAACACTACAAGCACCATGAAGAGTAAGATCTTTGCATTTGCCGCATGAAGAAGGAGGTCATGAGGTGAAGTGAGATGACAAGCACAGAAAACCAAGTGTCAGGTGATGCTCCTTATACATGGAACCTAAAGCTAGCGATCTCAGGACATTGGAGCAAAGAACAGTGTGTGCAAAAGGCACGGATTGTGGACATGGAGAGATAGGGAAATGTTTTGCCCCCAAATATCTAATTTAGATAGGAAGAATGAATAACTTTCAAGAGACCAAGTATACATCACAGTGACTACTGATGCCATGATTCAATCACCATCTAGATGATATTCTTGAACAATGCAGAGAATGACTGTCAGGTACTCTTATCACCAGGTCATCATGTGACGCAGCCCATGCAATGGACTAGAGTTATCCCTTTCCTAGTGTACGTAGGGTATCCTCTGAAATGCCATGGAAAAAGCACATTATGAAAAAAAATAAAAACAGGCACAGTGCCATGGCTTAGTGGCTAAATCCTCGCCCTGCAAGTGCCAGGATCCCAGATGGGAGCCGATTGGTGTCCTGGCTGCTCCACTTCCCATCCAGCTCCCTGCTTGTGACCTGGGAAAGCAGTCGAGGACGGCCCAAAGCCTTGGGACCCTGCACCCGTGTGGGAGACCAGGAAGAAACTGCTGTCTCTGTCGCTCCTGCTCTCTGTAAAACTGCCTTTCCAATAAAAAAAAGAATTTAAAAAAACAGAAAGGAAAGAAGGAAAGGAGAGAAGAGGGAGGAGGGGGGAAGGAGAAAGAAGCAGGGAAGAGAGGGGAAAGGAGGGAAGGGAGGAAAGGAAACTCATGCGTGGATTAAAAAATAAAATGCACCAACCAAACTAAGCTTATTTTTAACTTCATTTTCCCATGAACTTCTTGAAGTACTGCCATATCACATTGAAATATCATGATGCACATGATAGAAGAATTTCATATGACCCGTCAGTGAAAGGTGTGAGAAGCAAAAACTGATCAACCTCTACAGAGAAATAAGTCAACGCATACTTAGAATTAGAAATTTCAACATCGTTCTCTCAATATCAGAGGAAGAAGACAAAATATCTCTAAGGAGACAGAAGACTTCAACAATGCTGTGAACATAAAAATTAAGATGTATAAAACATTACAACCAGGAAGAGTAGAGCATGCATTGTTTTTAAGTTCACTTGTAATAGCTGTCAAAAATCTATCTTGCTTATGTCTGTAAAAAGTTTCAATAACTTTAAAGGAGTTCAAGATAAGGCAAGAATACTCCCCAGCCCAGTGCAGTTACATTACAATCCAATAACATGAAGCTCTCTGGAAGAGCCCCCAAATAGTTCAGAAACAATGCATTTCTAAATAATCTAAGAATAAAACAAAAAAAAATAGAAATAGACCATATACTCACAATGAAAATGAAAGCATGACATACCAGAGTCAGTGGAAAAAATAAAACAAGCCTCAGAGGGAAATTTTAACACTAGCTTCTAAATTTTAAAAAATATCAAAGATAAAGGGCCAAAGTCGTGGTATTCCAGGCCATACCGATGCTCCAGTGCCAGAATCCTGTATGTTCATGGGTTTGCTTCTGGGCTTTCTAAGCCATTGGTGAATATGTCTATGATAATACAGTGATTTTATTAGCAGAGAGTTGTAATGTATTACAAATCAGGAAGTGCAACCCCTCCAACTTCATTCTCTTTGCTCAAGATTGTCTATTTTAAGTCTTCAGTAGTTTCATACAAAATTCAATATTTTTTTCCCATTTT